ATGAAAAATAAGCCCATAATAATTTTAACCATAGGTTTGTCCAACCAAAGAATTTTATAAATGCTTCAGAATCCATGGATTCCCAAAAAAGACGAAGCGGAATTTGTCCCAGTGACTGGACTGGCCCATGGGCTGCGGCGAGACCTTGCCGTCGAAGGGACGAACATGGCGATTTTTAGCGCAAAAAAATTGGGATTCTGTGGTCAAATTGAAGTTTTTGACGGTTAACGATTTATCAATTTCTTAGAATTATCATGAATTATCATCATGAATTATCATGAATGACCTTTGTCAAATTGAAGTGCTATTGAAGCTTAACGATTGGATAAGTGTGATCTGTAGGGATCTCGCAAACAAGAAAGATCAAGAAGTGGCCAGAGAAAGGAAGACTGGAACTGTCTATTTTGTTCTTAGGGATGGTTTTCTCTGAGAACCGCCCGCGGTTCTAAAATGTTCTAACTATGGGCCATGGGAACTAGGCAAGCACCTGCAACAGAGCCATGAAAGACACTTAACTCTGCCGTGTCCCCCAACAAAAACATGTTGGCATGTTCCACCAAAACAACCTTTCAACCGGCCAAATGATCTTCCAATTCTCACAAAGCCATATCTACACCTGATTGGTGGTTCAACCATCTTGAAAAATATTAGTCATTGGGAAGGACTATCCCATATAGTGTAGAAAATAAAAAATGTTTGATACCACCAACCAGACACCACGTGTTCAGTGATATTTGTCTGATTTTTTCCACACCAGAGATCTTTTTGTCCTCACATGTTCCCGTGGCAACTCTTCCACCCAGTTTATGAATGTTTATCCCCCCCAAAGTCCAACAGTGTAAACGTGTGTCCAATTTATCCCCTGGCATGTTCTGCCCAAAATTTACCCATTTATATCCATTTATCATTATTTCTCCCAGAAATGTCCAAGTTAACAGCCCTTTCTCCAGTTTGTTCCAAGTCACATAGTTCTTCCTGCTGATTTGGGACTCAACGGGCTACAGGGACTGCAAATGCTGGCTGGGCTGGGCGGCGGAGCGAGCCCTGGAGGTGGACGGAAGGGCAGCGCGAGGCTGTTGCCGCTGGAGCTAAGAACCAACCTGTGCTGGCCAGGCGCCCCAGGTGCCCCAGCCCGGAAGGGGATGGATCTTTGACTTGAACCGTGATCCTTGGTGAAACTAAGGATTCAAGAATTGGAAGAATATATTGGTGAAAGATATGAAACAACTGATCTTGTTTCAACTAGTTTGTTGTTTAACAATATCTCTTTGGGGCTTAAAGGATGAAGGAAATACCTCCAAAAATTAATTTCGAGCTAGCAGCTTCTAGCCCCCCTTGGAAAGGAAGAACCAGGCTGGTTTTCAAGGATCTGGCAAAGGGTAACATTCAATCTGTGCTGATCCGGCCAGCTCTCATGGTTGTTGTTTGGTTTCATGCTTCCTTGGAGGTTTCCGTTTCCACGGGGAATCCCAACAAATCATCCATGTTTCCCGGGATTTTCCATTACAAACCATCTATTTCTTGGGGTACCCCCATGACTATGGAAACCTCAGTTTCTATACAGCAAGACATGAGCCACGTTGCTGATGAACATTCCGATCAACCGGGCGGTGGTTGACGAGTTGAGTTTGTTGGTGGGTCCTGGTCAAACTCACATGATTTTCCAACCTCGATTTTTCGTGAGTTCCCAGCCAGGGAACTGATTACCGGTATACAGCCTGGTTTGTTGAATGAATTGGTTGAACTAAGTACGTGAATTATATAGTTGACAGTGAAAATACTAAAAACATGATTAGACACATGGTAAACAATGCACTTTGGGGTCTACAGTCTCTGGCTCAGGAAGATGTTCACAAGGTTAACTATGTTTTATATGATTTTTGGTGATATACTTGCAAGGTGTTTTCCAGTTTGGAGACCAAAAGGTGCTTGAAGCAGCAAAAGGTGAGAGAATTCACCAAATGGGGAGTCATAGTTGTTTTCTTGTTAGCTCAGTTGGTTGAACGAAGTAGATTGAAGTAGATTAACAATGGTTTTATCAAATTTCACGAGCTCCTGGGATTTTGTGATTTTTAGGGAATATTTTATATCAAGGTCAGTGAAAGTTGATAGATGGTTTTTCCGATGATTTGTGGTAATGGGGGTATATTAACTGGTATAGTGACTGGATCATTTGGGTCAGCTTCAGCTGATCAGAAGTCTCCGTCCCAGGACTGGCTGGTTAAGAGCGGACTCCCGAACTAGTCATCAACCAAGGGGTGTTTTCAACACATCAATGGGTCAAAACTGGGTACCCTCTGGTAACCTGGCAAACAAACATAGCTATTTGAAATGGCAATTTATAGTTGATTTACCCATTAAAAATGGTGATTTTCCATAGTTATGTTAGTTTACCAGAGGGTACCCCCATATTGGATGGTATGACTTGGATTTAAGGAACCCCAAAAAAATAACACATATCCCTTAAGATCAATTCCCTTAAGAGGAATGGATTTCCCCT